ATTTTGGATTTATATTAAGATGCCAATCCTAGATCACAGCTCTGTGATTTGGAGATAGTAACTCACTTGTACGTGATTCTCTTCCTCAAATCTCATTTCAGAGAAAACAAGCCAGCTAATTCACTCGTTTGGTCAGCGGATGTCAGTAAAGCATCCATTTTATGAATAAATGATTTTCGATTTAAAGGTGAATTTAAATACATTATACACATATATATATATATATATATACACATATATATATATATATATATATATATATATATATATATATATATATATATATATGAGTGGTTTGGTGTGAAACTTTACAGAGAGTCAAAATTGTTCACAGTGGTGGTGATAGGAACCAGATGTCCACCTCTAAAAGCTCCCTCACAGAAAGTTATTACATGAAATGGTTATAAATACACTGCCTGATGTCTCAGTCATTTTTAAGACTTGGACATCAGGTAAGTTATTCTTTATCATATGAGCGATATGCAAGGGACATTAACATTACGGAAGATTAACATAAACATGCATATGAAAAAAGATCCTGTATATACTTTTTAACTTTAGGCCCACAAGGTGGAACTACAAGAAAGGCGATTCAGATAAATCAAGTGTTAAACGTAAAGTTAAATACTTAGAATGCTATTTTAAGGGTTTTGAATACAATACATAGAACTGCAGAACAATGGGACATTTTAATATATTGTTCTTTTGGGCAGGGCTGTAACGTGACAGAAAGGGCCAGACGCTCACGGTAAAACCAAGAGATGAGGCTTTAATATCAAAGGGTTTGACAAGAATCGTGCTCAGTAAACAGGCGTGGGTCAGATCCAAAACAGCAAAAAGGTACAAAAAGGCAACCATAACCAGAGGGCAAAGACAAAAGGGAAAAACCAGAAATCAAGAAAAACAGTCCAAACATGAAAAAGGCAAATAACAAAAACACAAGAGAAATGCTCAGTAGCTGTACAGGAGAAGCAATACCTCACAATCTGGTTAAGCAAAAGCCCGGGCTTTTAAACTAAACTAAACAAGTCATATGACATGGAGCACAGGTAAAAGGACTCAATACTCAGCAGAACTAGAGCGGTGATTGGTTGAATGAGGAAGTTCTGTCACGTGATTTCCCAAGGGGTTCTGGAAGATGGAGTCCTTGTGAGAATCGAGGCCAGAAGGACGCATGACAATGTCTCTGCGGACGGCCGAGAACATCCTGGACAGACGTTTGCACATTTCCTTGAAGGGTGTCACCGGTGATTCTCTCTGTAAGAGCTGCAAAAAGAAAAAATGAATCAGAAGCGTAGAAACTGATAACACTGTTTATTTAAATATCCAGTTCATGCTGTTATATTCTACATTTGGGATTAAAAAGGGATATGCTGAGGCACATTTGAACTATAAGCTCAGGAAATACTTGGCCATGAGTGTGTCCACTGTGAATGAATGACTCTGTGTGTTTTGTTTCATGTACTTACACTCCTGAAGATTTTCAGAGTTGGAGTTAGACTGATGATTTTCACACAACATGCTGACAGAAAGTACTTCAGTCGACTTCTAGACTAGCAAACATTTAACAGAGAAGGCAGAAAAATGAAGACTAAAAAAGTAACATACAGTCATATATTATATTATATTATATTATATTATATTATATATGTGTGTCTGACATGGTGTTCAGCAGCACAGGGGCCCCGCGGGGAACAGTCCTGGCACCGTTCCTCTTTACCCTGTACACTGCAGACTTCATGTACAGATCACAGAACTGCCATATACAGAAGTTCTCTGATCTGACTCATTACAGATGAGGATGACAGAGAGTACAAAGAACTGACCCAGGACTTTGTGGATAGGCAGTTCCTTCAGTGACCGGCTGCTTCACCTCAAGTGTGTGAAGGAGGCCATCGCAGGTCCTTCCTTCCTGCTGCTGTTAGGCTGAACAACCAGCACTGCTCCCAGTAGAACTTCCTCCACCCCCCATTAGACCCCACACACCTACAGAACATAAACTGTGGAATTCATCACCGTTTACTGTGTGCAGTATAATCAATAATCCATCAGCAACACTTGTAAATATCTCTATAGTGTAAAGATTTTTTTCTTTTCTATTTAAAATGTTTATATTGTTAACTCATCACCATCCCATGGATAACATACATCAGTACCTCATGTGCAATTTGGATAAAATACCCATACAGTGTAAATATTTTTAGCTTTTATTTATTTATAATACTTTATATTGTTCATTTTTGTGAAGGATAGATTAGGATAGATAGAAAAAAAGTTTATATTTTTATCTTATTTTTTTACTTTTAGTATTATATAGTTTGTCTACAAAGTAACAAGTAACAAACTGTAAAACCTTGTTAAGTAATTATAAAAGGTTAATTACTTGAGTGCCTTGCTCTCCCTTTGTTGCCGTAACACTGAGAATTTCTCTGTTGTGGGACTAATAAAGGATTATCTTATCTTATTTAACACATAATTCAGAATGTAAAGTGATGTGATCAATGTGTGTGTTATGATTAAATTATTAATATATATTAAAAGTGCCCCTTACCTGTTCAATGCTCATAGAAGGAGCTTTTTTCCCCAAAATGAAACAAATCCATGACTCCTTTTTCACAACCACAGGCTCTGGATCATTTAACAGGCTTGAACCGAAAGAGTACGTCTCATTCTCCTAGCTAGAGATGCTAAGATTCTCCAGTGTTTATCTAACCACTGCACTGCCAGCCTTTCCTCGAGTGTGTGGCTAATGCACCAGGAGACTTGATGTCTGTACAGAGATGTCATGGATCCCCTCAGATTCAGCTTGCTCAGCATTCACATGCAATGCCAGAGGATCCCCCATTTCTTATGAATGTGAAACTCAAAAACTTCTTTGAGGTGATCTGCTGGGCTTCAGAACGTGTATGAGTTCCTTGCATGCCTTGATCAAAATCCTGAGTGAAGCTAAAAGATAATTTATATTCGAAGATTCTGGTTTGAGACTCACTAAGTAGAGAAACAAGGTCTTAGCAGGTTTGTCCACAAAAACATAGACCTGTAGGTCAGTAGTTCAGTTTCTCTGTTCTTTATATTTGAGTGTTTTAGCTCTAACAGGCCTGTATAAACTGTACTGGTCAGTGTTATAGATGAATAAGGTCAGTAGTTCAGTTTCTCTGTTCTTTATATTTGAGTGTTTTAGCTCTAACAGGCCTGTATAAACTGTACTGGTCAGTGTTATAGATGAATAAGGTCAGTAGTTCAGTTTCTCTGTTCTTTATATTTGAGTGTTTTAGCTCTAACAGGCCTGTATAAACTGTACTGGTAAGTGTTATAGATGAATAAGGTCAGTAGTTCAGTTTCTCTGTTCTTTATATTTGAGTGTTTTAGCTCTAACAGGCCTGTATAAACTGTACTGGTCAGTGTTGTAGATGAATAAGGTCAGTAGTTCAGTTTCTCTGTTCTTTATATTTGAGTGTTTTAGCTCTAACAGGCCTGTATAAACTGTACTGGTCAGTGTTGTAGATGAATAAGGTCAGTAGTTCAGTTTCTCTGTTCTTTATATTTGAGTGTTTTAGCTCTAACAGGCCTGTATAAACTGTACTGGTCAGTGTTATAGGTGAATAAGGTCAGTAGTTCAGTTTCTCTGTTCTGTATATTTGAGTGTTTTAGCTCTAACAGGCCTGTATAAACTGTACTGGTCAGTGTTGTAGATGAATAAGGTCAGTAGTTCAGTTTCTCTGTTCTTTATATTTGAGTGTTTTAGCTCTAACAGGCCTGTATAAACTGTACTGGTCAGTGTTACAGATGAATAAGGTCAGTAGTTCAGTTTCTCTGTTCTTTATATTTGAGTGTTGTAGCTCTAACAGGCCTGTATAAACTGTACTGGTCAGTGTTACAGATGAATAAGGTCAGTAGTTCAGTTTTTCTGTTCTTTATATTTCTGTGTTTTTAGTTGTAACCAGATTGTAAATGGATCTTCTTCGTAAGAACTAAAGTGCAATTTTAGGAGATCACTCTGCTGCCACCTTGTGGTCTGTTTGCTTATTGTCTGAGCAGTGAAGATCAAGATATGCGGGGCTGTATGTATGAAAAACCCAACATATTTGATCTAAAACTGCAGACAGTCTGGGAACCTGCACAATGGATACTATGACGTCTTTGCAATAAATGAGATGCAGCGTGCACAGCAGTTTAGATGAATGCTCTTTGTTAAACAAAGCAGCCTTGGGAAAACCGCTAACCAGCGCTGGCTGACACAATCGGGAAGCAGGCAGGGAACTTCTAGCCATACATTTTCCATTCCTGGTAGATACACAGACCCACCTAACTTCCCCACAGCCCAGCACAATAAGGCACAACACATAAACACACCTTTAAGCCAACAACACAACTTATTTACAACATAAAAGTCTCTCGATTATCAGGAATGGCACCTACCTAGCACCCATGCATGTAGCCACTCTGTATGGCCACCCCTTCCATGTGTCCATGGCCGAATGAGCCAGTAGCGGGAGCTACAATACTACAATTAAATTACTTGATTAAAATCCAGTCAGTTTTCAAAAATGTGCTAAGTGATACTGCTCTGGAAATATCTACACCTGCATTTATAATGAATTTAATGAAAACTGGGCAGCATTTTGCAGGAACATCTGTTTACTTTATTTTTAAGCAATAGAACACTCAAGGTTGTGTGTTATCGCAAATAACATCATGGCTGTGATTTGGTGTGATACAGAGTGATACAGTGTGAAAAAAAAAACATGTTATGGTGAAATAATTTAAAATTTTGAAAACCAGAAATTCAGCAAAACTTCAAGGGTCTAGTGTGTTAGAAAAGTGGTTCTAATAAGGTTCTACATTAAACACAGCACTGTAAGTCAGATATATTACTAGATGGTTGAATAAGTTTGGTGTTTTTGGACATGAAGAGATGAGCTGGGACTCTGTTGGTAAATGTCTTCTACCTGGTGGACAAACCTTGAAAGTGCAACAGACTGTCATCAGGAAATGGTGGGCGTGGCCTCATGATGTCACTGTGGAGAAACGAAAGTAGTGAGAGCTGTATTATAAGCACAGTCCAGTTGCTGCAGCTGGACTCGACATCCAGCTTGAAGCTTCTCCAGACGTTCTTAGAGGATCTACCACCACTGCAGGTGAGAGAACCTCTACAGGAAGCAGGAGGAAGTAGCCAGAAAGGAGAAACTGGAGTCACTGCTGAGACTTTCTGCTGTATTTAGCTTGTTTCTGTCATTGACTTGTTTAGTTGTGTGTGTTATTGATTTGAATTGAGCACAAAGAACAGGTTCTAGAGTAGAACAGCACAGCTGGAATATGAAGCAGATTTAATGTGATGGTGATTATTAGAACATTTGAGTCAGAACCTCCAGGTTTAAGAGCAGCTTCTGCTCTCAGGCTGTTAAACTGGTCACACCCAGAGCAGCAAACAGATCCTGAAGCCGAGCTCCACTCCAGATCCCTGCACTGCACTTTAATGATATTCTGAACTGCTGACTCAGTCAGGACACTGTTTACTGAACAGAGTCTGTGTATAATGAGAGAGTCGAACTGAACTGAACTGTAAAGTGAAACTTCATAAATGAACTTTAATTTGGCTTGAAAAAGCCAACAAATTACGTTAAAACATTAACATTTTGGAAGACTGTTGATGGTCGCTGAAGTGTTGCTATGTGGTTGCTACGGTATCCAAGGTGGTTGGTAAAGTGTTGTTAGGTGCTTGATATGGTGTCCCATGTTGTTGCTAAGGTGTTGTGAGGTGGTGCCTATGCTAATAAATACAACCCCATTTCCAAAAAACGCTGTGCAAAATGTAAACAAAAATAAATTCAATGATGTGCATTTAAACCCTATATTTCATTGGAAATAGTACAAAAACAACAAATCAAATATTGAAACTGAGTAATGTTATTGTTTTTTTGAAAAATATATGCCCATTTTGAATTTGATGTCAACAACACATTCCAAAAAAGTTGGGACAGGCCATGTTTATCATTGTGTTTCATCACCTCTTCACAACAATCTGTAAGTGTTTGGTAACTGAGGAATAGTTTTGCTGTAGTTTTGAAAGTGAAATTTTTCCCATTTTTGCTTTGCATCAGCTGCTCATCTGTGATAAAGGCCTGTTAACCACCAGGTGTTTTTAGCATTACACAATTTTACTATGCTTTTGTTGCCCCTGTCCCAACTTTTTTGGAACGTGTTGCTGGCTTCAAATTCAAAATGGGCATATATTTTTCAAAAAACAATAAAATTTTCCAGTTTCAACATTTGATATGCTGTCTTTGTACTATTTACAATGAAATGTAGGGTTTAAATGATTTGCACATCATTGCATTTTGTTTTTATTTACATTTTGCACAGTGTCCCAACTTTTTTGGAAATGGGGTTGTACCCTGGTATCTTAAATCCACTGCTTCCTTAAATTCACTGCCTCCTTAAATCTCCTGCGAGTTTAAATTTAATGATACGTTAAATCCACTGTCACCTTAAATTTATTGTCACCTTAAATTCACTGGCACTTTAAATTTACTGATACATTATCTAATTAACCATTGCTCTGCCTGTTTTCCCCGTTTTGTACTATAATATTTTATACTAATGCTGTTTGCTATCCGGTGTCAACCAGAAGAGAATGGCTTCCCCTTTTGAGTCTAGGTTCCTCTCAAGGTTTCTTCTTCTTGCTCTTAGGGAGTTTTTCCTTGCCACTGTCACCATTGGCAACACTCACAGGGGCTTGGACCCAGATTTTTCTGTAAAGCTGCTTTGTGACAACACCTGTTGTAAAAAGCGCTATATAAATAAACTTTGACTTAACATTATATCCTGTGCCACCTTAAATTCACCGCCATCTAAATTTACTGCCACCTTAAATCCAGTGCCAGCTTAATTCACTGACACATTACATTCAGTGATACATTAAATCTAGTGCCAGCTTAAGTTCATTGCTACCTTAAATTTACTGCCACCTTAAATTCACTGCCACTTTAATTCCACTGCAACCTTAAACATTATGACATCACTTGTGGCAGTTAGTTAAATGTCCCGAACATTCTGCTATTCATTCTCTATGGGGAAAAATGTTGTCTTGGTGATAAAACTGTAGGATCACTTTGAAAAGCAAAAGCAACCTAATCGGATGTAGGTCCTACAGTCCTTCAAAGTTTTGTAGTTCTAGCTTGAAAACTGTAGAGCGAGAAGCAGTTTTTTTAAATGTAGAATAATAATGATAAGAAGAAGATTAAGAAGAACAGTAAAATGTCTTTTTTCAAGCCAACGTAATTTATATATGTTAACTACATTTCATAAGTAAGTTTTCTTTGCTCTCAAATGACCATCATATTGTCTGTCTATCTCCTCCATCAGTCATGTCTTCCTCCAGCAGTCTCCTGTCTGAAGATCAGCTCCAGTGCTCTGTCTGTCTGGATGTGTTCACTGATCCAGTCTCGACTCCATGTGGTCACAACTTCTGCATGGTCTGTCTCAAAGAGTGCTGGGACAGCAGTTCACGCTGCCAGTGTCCAGTTTGTAAGAAAGAATTCCCTACAAGACCTGAACTGTCTGTGAACACGTTCATCTCTGGACTGGCTGCTCAGTTCAGAAAGTCAGTTCAGGTCAAATCCAGCAGAGCTCCAGAGAAACGACCCTCCAAAGCTACAAAGGTTCTGTGTGACTCCTGCAGTGAGGAGGCTGTAAAGTCCTGTCTGGACTGTGGAGTGTCTTACTGTGAGACTCATCTGACGCCTCATAAAACTGCAACTAAACTCAAGAAGCACAAACTGATGGACCCTGTGGAGAACCTAGAGGACTACATCTGCCAGAAACATGAGAGACCCCTGGAGCTGTTCTGTAGAGATGACCAGACGAGTGTGTGTCGGTTCTGCACTGAGACAGACCACAAGACTCACAGCACTGTTCCTGTAGAGGAGGAGATTGGAGAGAAGAAGGTGACAGACACTTAGACACATATTCATCCCATATATTTAAAGTAATGATTGGCTTTGTTATAATGTGTCGAATTGTCATAGACTCAGCTGGTGAAAACACAGGCAGAAGTTCAGCAGATGATCCAGGACCGACTGAAGAAGATTGAGGGAATCAAACACTCTGTAAAACTCAATAAAGTGAGTGTAAACAGTGACCTGAAGTGTAGTCACTACTTTCATTCAATTATAATACACTTTCTAGACTTCAAGTGATTTAAACACAAAACGTTAATGTAAATAAATAATCTCCTGTTAGAAAAGCTCAGAGAAGGAGAAAGCAGACAGTGTGGAGGTCTTCAGAGCTCTGGTGCGCTGCATTGAGAGAAGCCAGGCGGAGCTGCTTGAGGTGATGGAGGAGAAGCAGAAAGCAGCAGAGAGGCAGGCTGAAGAGTTCATTAAAGAGCTGGAGCAGGAAATCACTGAGCTAAAGAGGAGAGACACTGAGCTGGAGCAGCTCTCCCACACTGAGGACCACCTCCACCTCCTACAGGTCAGAGTCCCTCTGTTTCTCAATAGTAATGCAGTCCATCACAGGACAGCACTCCCCATGCTGAGGGGTTTCTCCTCTCTCCTGCTGGACTGTAGGTTTACCCGTCCCTCTGCAGCCGTCCACACACCAAGAACTGGACTGACGTCAGGATTAACTCTCATCTGAGGGTGGAGACTCTGAGGAGAGCTCTGTCTCAGCTTCAGGAAGAGCTCAGTAAGGAGATGGAGAAGATTCCTGAGATCAGTAAGTATTTACTGATCAGTGAGAGCTTGTGGGGAAAATTTTATTTCAGGAAGTTTCCAAAATCATGATGACAGATATTTGGTAAATGGTGTATTTAAAACTGTAATTTTGCATTATTCTGCATTAAAAACTATTTTTGTCATTAAAATGTCCTTTAATATGAATGTTATTTTTGGTATTTTGATTTATTTGTTAATTTAGCTGTTTTAAATGTGATTTATTTTATTTCAAGCATTGAATCAAACAAAATGCAAAATTACTAATGATTATTCTAATTATATTGTCTGTTGTTCTTTTCCAAACAGAACTAAAAGCAGTTCAGCAATATACAGGTTTGTGGATATGAATTACATAAATAAATATGTGTGCCTTTGTCTTTATATGCTGTACACTGGTAAAATTAGTTAATTTTTTTCTCAGTGGATGTGACTCTGGATCCTGATTCAGCTCATCCTGCTCTTATTCTGTCTGATGATGGGAAACAAGTAACACACAGAGACACAGAACAGAATCTCCCTGACAACCCAGAGAGGTTTGATGAATATTTTTATGTGCTGGGAAAGGAGGGGTTCTCCTCAGGGAGGTTTTACTATGAGGTTCAGGTCAGTGAGAAGACTGAGTGGGTTTTAGGAGTGACCAGAGAGTCCAGTAACAGGAAGGGAGAGATTACACTGAGTCCTGAGGATGGATACTGTACTGTGTCTCTGAATGAAGGGTCTGAATATGAGGCTGCAGACTCTCCCTCTGTCCTCTTCTCCTTGGATCAGGCTCCCCAGAAGGTGGGGGTGTTTGTGGATTATGAGGAGGGTCTGGTCTCCTTCTATGATGTTAAGACCAATTCTCATATCTACTCTTTCACTGGTCAGTCTTTCACTGAGAAACTCTATCCAGTGTTTAACCCTTGCACCAACAATGAAGGTAAAAACTCAGCACCGCTGATCGTCACACCTGTTGAACATGATAAATGAGGCACTTTTCTACAATAAAACACTTTAGTGTGTCAGAAGAAGCTTTTAGTATGACATTTCAGAGCAAGAATAAATAATGTTTTTTGAATGAAAATCATACATTATGCTGTTAATGAACAAAATTTTAAATTAGTGAATGAATAAATGAATCAGTAGCTTCTAACTGGTTACTTTGCACTAAAGGCATCTGCCTCAAGTTATTCTTTTTCATAGTGGTTGGTAAAGTGTAGTTGTTGGTATAGTGCCTTCTACACTGTAGACTGGGGTTCAATCCCTGCCTGGGTAAGCACCCTACACTATACCAATAAGAGTCCTTGGGCAAGACTCTTAACACTACCCTCACCTACCTGTGTAAAATGATCAAATTGTAAGTCTGGATAAGAGCGTCTGCCAAATGTCATATGATTTAAAAAGAATATTCAGTTTAGCTGCTACAGAACCACTCTTGTTATATGTGTTGTCTCAAGGCTTGTGGGCATTTTATTGTCTTTCCCTTTAATGTCCACACAGTGAATTACCTGTATTGAAAATATTGTGGGTTATATCTCACTAATTAGATCACACTGAACAACTTTTCATAGATTTGTTTTCCAGATTTGCCCTCAGATCAGGAATTATGAACATCTGGCCAGGTGAGATGCTCACTTAAAGAAATAATATAGCAAAAAGATCCAATTTACTTGATTTTCCTTTAACCATAAATGTAATGTGTCTGTAATAAAGTTTCACAGTCTTTTCTGGACTTTTCTGATGCATCTAATGGGGCAGCCTCAAATAAAGCTCACTTTGACATTGAAATCTGCCAGTGGCTGAGTTGAACATCCATTCCTGAACAGCACATGAGCTGCAAGTGACTCAGGTTTCTAAATTACTCATAAGAACAGGCACTAAGCCACATACCAGCTAGGAAAACGTCTGCGAACAAAAAAAAAGAAGTAGCATGTCCAGATCATTATTCCATCTTTAGTGTTGGAGCATGTATGAATCCCTGTCAATAAGACTAATTTTATCCATGTAATTGTTTGGTATCCTTCTGGAGGTGGTTAACATGCACATCCTTCTTCTTTGGTTTACTGTTAAGCATGACAACTCTGAAAAAAACATATCACTTCTCCCCATCAGGCTTAAATTCTGAACTGAAATGGATCTTCTGGTAAAGAGCTATAGTGCAATTTTAGGGTATCTCTCTGCTGCCCTCTGGTGGAGAATTTGCTTTTTTTCGGATCACTGATGGATCGTCACTGTAATGATCAAGATGTGTGAAGGCCTGTAAGAAAAACCCAACATATTTGATCTCAGATATAAAATGGAGCCTGTGAATCTGCACCATAATACTCAAATTATTTAATTTAAATTCAGTGTCACATTTTAAAATGTGCTCAAGTGATACTGCTGTGGAAATATCTGTAAATACATTTATGATAAACCTAATAAAGAGCTTTGCAGCATTTTGCAGAAACCTCTGGTTATTTTCCATTACTGTTAAAAAACATTTGTTTGCAGATCTTTTTACAGTTCAAGGATAAAATTCTCAACACCAGAGAGTAAAAAACTAGCAAAACTTTAAAGGGCTAATATATTGGAAAAAAGAGATGACATATAGCATATAAAATATATGTAAGTCGTATATATTTTCACAAGACCGAAAATGTTAACTTTTAAAGATGCTGATAAAAGTTGGGATTTTGTAATTCAGTTGGTAAATGTCTTCTCGACATTTGAACTCGACATCCAGCTCGAAGACTCCGCAGTTTTCGTAACTCAATCTGCAGTTTGAAGCTTCTCCAGACTTAGAGAAACTACCACCACTGCAGGTGAGATAAACTCTACAGGGAACAGCTTTTTTTAGCCTGAACTAGAACATCAGCACATACTGAGACATACTTATAGCCAAGATGGTAAAACAGATATAAAATGTGGCTCCCAAGGTGGTTTCATTTTTGTTGAAATGACAAAATGGCTCTTCTTAACATTTCGGTTGCGAACCCTGAGCTAAACTTACTATAGTAAAGGGTGATCAGCGCTCGAACTGTCAGCTCAGTCAGGATGGCACAGTCGCCACCAGCCCAGTTAACGGCCGAGTTCTATGGTTCAGATTTTGCGCAGTTTGCCTTAAGTCTGTAGCGAAATTGTAGCGAAAATTATTGCTATAGCTACATTTTATAAGACTGTGGCAGCTACAGCTATTAGCTACAAACATTTGTAGTTAGCTATAAAAAGTAGCGCTACTTAGCTACTCCCCCATCCCTGAGTGTAACAATATCCTTCTGGAACAGAGTTTTTGTACAGTAGATCTATTATTGTTTTTCTGAACTGGCTCTACTCCTTCATCATATTAGCCTGTCTACTTAAATGAAAGTGAGTGAAACTGAAATGCTGACAACTTTACACAGCAATACTGAAAATATATGTATAATGACAGGACACTCATTCATAACATCCTTCACCGCCGTTTACATGGTAAACTGGCACTCATTTTCAGGAATAAATGGGGGAAACATAAATTTAAGAAAGATTTTCATCTTTTTTATTGAAGCAAAACATAGTACACAACATCATATGTGTATAAACATATACATATAACAGTGAACACAAATCTTGAAGTTGGGTCATTCTACAGAAACGTCCACTTTTTTATCTGTCCATAGGAGTCACTGGTGTTACTGATCGTCATTGGTGTTACACATAAGTAACACGAGAGACATTTTTAATGAACAATGCATTTTACAAAACAGCTGCTACAGAACATCAAACCACATGTCAATCATGGAATATCCACTGAAATATGTCATTTAATCCATTTATATTCTATTTTTACACAATTACCTAAGAATAAAGTCGGTCACACCAGTGACGTCAACTAAAAGCTGAATGAAACTGAATGAAAATTTCTGATAACTGAAAGACACAGTGGACTCACCATGTGCTTTTCTTCATAGATCCTCAGAAAATAGGAAAAATGAAGTCGTTATGTCATCAGCTTGATTTTTATTTGAAAATAAGAGATTTTTTGTTAAGCAGTAACACCAGTGACACGACTCCTGGGGAACTTTCATTATATGTTTTATAATATTTATTTGTTTTCTTTAATGTCATTAAATATATTCTTATTAGACACGTATAGATTATTGTAGTTAAAACTGAAGAAAAACATTATTTTTTCCCTCAAAATATGGCCTCACCCCTTTACACATGATTGTGGGGACGATCTCTTCTGTGGTGCTTGGAGTTCTAGATGATTGATTTTTAAATCAATATTGCTATATTGAGGCTCAAGAAGGTGTAATTGTTAAAATAACTTATTTTAAAATATAAATAAATTCATTTAAATGTAAATAAATAAATTAACCCTAACCCTTGTATGTTTTTTAAGTGTAATAAATCTCTGAACGCTGGACATTTCTGTAGAATGAGCCAGTCCATACACACTTTAACAGTTTTAATAGCTTTTAGTCTTAAAGAGGGCTGTATTAGTTTAATATAACGTTTTTTCTCCTTTTCAAATGCAACAAAGGCTCATGGGAACTCAGGGCTGAGGAGGAACCTCAGAGCTCCTCTGAAAGAACATTTCTCAGGAAAGTGGGACTTTCGAAGGTCGCAGCCCTGAATAGATGAAGAATTAACATTGTTATTGTTCACTGAAGTTAATGTGGACCGTTTAACGTCGATTTAGCACAGATCCAGCGGCTGATACTGTCTGGGAAATCATTCATTTACATTAAAAAACCTGATACTTTCAGATGTTGAATGGGAGGGCATTCTTCACCAGGTGCACTCATCGTCCCCTTGTGCAAGACACGGGTTGATACAATTTAAAATACTCACTTCACTATTTCACTAATTCCAAATTGGCTAAAATATTTCCTAATACCAGCTCGGCGTGCAATAGATGTAAGCAAATGCCAGCCACTTCAGTCCATGTGTTTTGGTCATGCCCTAGATTGGAGGAGTTTTGGAGTATAGTTAAGTGTTTTAATGACATCTACGGTGTCGTAATTGAACCACATCCCCAACTGGCTTTATTTGGCACACAGCCTGAAGGATCATCTCTAACTAAAGACAAGTGTCATGTTATTGCCTTCTCCACCCTGCAAGCAAGACCTAATTCTTTTGGACTGGAAGGGGCCCCTTTGGGGTGACTATTAAAAAAATAATAATAATCATAAAAAATAATGTGACTGATCTAGAAATGGTGTATTAATGATACTATAATGGAGTTAATTACTAACATTATTATTAATATGGTTTGGTACTATGTGTGTGTATCTGTACATATATATATATATATATATATATATATATATATATATATATATATATATATATATATATACACACACACGCACACACAAGGAAGGAAGGAAGGAAGAAAAGAAGAAAAGAAGGAAGTAAGGAGAAGAGAAAGGTAAAAGAGAAAGCAAACAAAGGGCAGAAAACAGCAGTACTCTAAGCTAGGTGACAGAAGGAAAGAGAAAAAGGAAAGAAGGAGAAAGTGGCGCAGTGGTAGGATGCTGGGCTTTCAAGGTTCGAATCCAGCTGAGAGTTACTCCCCTCCAACAGTACACAACACTCTCTCTGTCCCCACATCATTACTTATTACCATCTGTCCCATTATAGAAAGGCAAAGAAGGTGAATAAATAAGAATATTTTGTTTTCATTTATGTTTTAAGTCCTCACGGGTTTTCCTCTCTGAGCTTGGCTCCCTGACCGTCCCGTGACGCTATAGTTCATTCACAAACCTATTCTGACTATCAAGCGATCAGATCTTCAGCTTCCTTTGTTCTGCTTCCATCAGGGAGAAATCAAGTAGCCCAGGACAGTACAGCACCAACAACACATCTACACACCTCCAAGCTATCAGTCCAACTGTTTACATGGTTTAAGTCTCTCTCACCGGCGCCATCTGCTCCGCGCTCGCCGCTCCGCATGGCCACGCCCCCCGCGCGACTGTGTTTTCAGAGCTTTAGGTTAATATGCAGGCTCGTGCTGAAATTCAAAAAGCAATTAAGAAAATACCAAGTCACTGGCGGAGTTTCTGACCAATTAAAACACGGCAGAGGAGGAGCTGAGCAGTATGACTCCGCCCACCGGAGGCTCGGCGCAGCAGCGCGCGCTTTCTGCAAGCGCTGGATTTGACTGTTTGAATCCAAACACGACCGTTAGGAGCTGCTTTGGTACTCGGGACTCACAGCGCTAACGGTAACGGTTTAAAACGACCGTTAGGACGGTTTAAAACGATTTTCATCACGTTTATACGGAAATCTCTTCAAAATGTCTGCCTTACATTATTTTCTGAGATGCCGGCGTTCCGAACCTACCGACAAAGGACGTTTCAGCTCTGAAAACCGAGGCCTTTTCGACGAGAGAGAATAGTGTCCCCCGCCGAACAACCGATCTCCCAGCATCCACTGCTACTTGCAGTCAGTTAGTAATTATACTGAGTGGGTGAGCCACACTGACTCTGTATTCTAGTTCACTTTCTTTGTTCTTTATATTTGAGTGTTGTAGCTCTAACAGGCCTGTATAAACTGTACTGGTCAGTGTTGTAGATGAATAAGGTCAGTAGTTCAGTTTCTCTGTTCTTTATATTTGAGTGTTTTAGCTCTAACAGGCCTGTATAAACTGTACTGGTCAGTGTTGTAGATGAATAAGGTCAGTAGTTCAGTTTCTCTGTTCTTTATATTTGAGTGTTTTAGCTCTAACAGGCCTGTATAAACTGTACTGGTCAGTGTTGTAGATGAATAAGGTCAGTAGTTCAGTTTCTCTGTTCTTTATATTTGAGTGTTTTAGCTCTAACAGGCCTGTATAAACTGTACTGGTCAGTGTTGTAGATGAATAAGGTCAGTAGTTCAGTTTCTCTGTTCTTTGTATTTGAGTGTTTTAGCTCTAACAGGCCTGTATAAACTGTACTGGTCAGTGTTGTAGATGAATAAGGTCAGTAGTTCAGTTTCTCTGTTCTTTGTATTTGAGTGTTTTAGCTCTAACAGGCCTGTATAAACTGTACTGGTCAGTGTTGTAGATGAATAAGGTCAGTAGTTCAGTTTCTCTGTTCTTTATATTTGAGTGTTTTAGCTCTAACAGGCCTGTATAAACTGTACTGGTCAGTGTTGTAGATGAATAAGGTCAGTAGTTCAGTTTCTCTGTTCTTTATATTTGAGTGTTTTAGCTCTAACAGGCCTGCATAAACTGTACTGGTCAGTGTTGTAGATGAATAAGGTCAGTAGTTCAGTTTGTCTGTTCTTTATATTTGAGTGTTTTAGCTCTAACAGGCCTGTATAAACTGTACTGGTCAGTGTTGTAGATGAATAAGGTCAGTAGTTCAGTTTGTCTGTTCTTTATATTTGAGTGTTTTAGCTCTAACAGGCCTGTATAAAACTGTACTGGTCAGTGTTATAGATGAATAAGGTCAGTAGTTCATTTAAATGTGATTTTACTAGCTGTAGTCATATTAATAGCTGTTTCACAGAGGGTGCATTCTCAAATAACTCACTGGTGTGCTACGTTACATATGGGCAAGACACTGTTATATTATGTATATTGTTGTGGAAAGCATTTCTGCACATTACAAGTTCACATATATATATATAATTTACAGTATATATCAATTAATTACAGTGTGAGCTGTGCCTGATTCAGGTACAAGTCCACTGTTTATTTTTAAATGCATTAAACTTCCTGCCCTCTCCTGCCTATTGTGTATTTCCTCTCTCTCTCTCTCTCTCTCTCTCTCCCCCTCCCTCCCTCTCTCTCTCCCTCCCTCCCTCTCTCTCTCTCTCTCTCTCTCTCTTCACCAGTCGCTGAGAGACAACACTAAAACGTAAGTTCCTGCCTTTGTAGGGCATTTAAACTTTATTCTTTCAAAAAAATCACATCTGAAAACAATATTTAAGTATCACAATGTCGTAATTCTGCGTGTACAAAACCGTGTGAACGCAGCACCGCAGTAAAGCTGTCTTGGTGTTAGTGATTCAGACTTCTGCCGGCTCTCTCTCTCTCTGTAATGCTCTAACGCTTCTGCTTTCACTTGCTTTCCCGAGGGTAACGCTCACTTCTTCAGCTCCATATAACTGCTGCAGAATCACTATCAGTTTTTGTAATGTGCCACAGCGCACTGAGCTGCAACAGCCATATTTTGGTTTCCGTGCACTGTCACAAAAACTGAAAGATTAAAAAAAAAGATTAAGAAGTGGATGGAAACACTGATTTAACTTAGAGACCTACAGCTAAAATGCTGTATGTGTGGTGTAGCCCTGTTTACTGCTGCTACAGCTGCTCACAGCAAACAGTCTCTATGTCTTTGGACAACATGCCAGCAATCTCTGTGATGTTTATGTTTTAAAATGAATGCAGAACTTGTACATATAGTGTGAATTTGATCCACTTTGTTTATATTTAGGTAGCTAGAAGCCATGCTAACCATAATTATAATCCCAAACAGTGGAGCTTTCATTAGCTGCTGGCACCAGCTGGCTGGAGCAGTCGGCCAGTGATTACTGTAACATTAAGAAAGGAAAACAAACTTTTATATGTAATGTAAGCTCTGTTGTAGCTTAGCTTGGGCTAACAAGCTACAGGTGCTAATTAGCTGGCATACTATTAGCAGCGTAATAAACACCAGCTTTAAATGAGTAGCAAACATCAAGTTAGTTACTAGCTATAGCATGTAGCAATAACATGTAAAGACATGAGAACAATAATCAGTGGTAAATGTGATGCATAAAAAGTACTTTGTCAGCCCCTCTGACAGTTTTCAGTAATAACCACTGTTGATTTCAATGCTGATTTCAAGTCCTGTCAGAAATATTGGATTTATGAGATGAATGCACACGAACGCCACCACAGCGTCCTATTAACTAGTGGGAAACTCTGATTTTTCACTGAGCCCCGAGTTTCCGAGTTGGGGGCATGTCAACAAAAAAGCAACGATAGCCGCTGATAAACTGGCTGTTTTCCATTTATTTATCAGCCATGCCGTTACACATGCACCATCCACACATGGAAATACAGATATAAGCACCTTATGTGATCCATCTGACTGCATAAAATCTCATAAGCATCCTTATAAATCCTTTTAAATACACAGACTCTCTTTAATGACAGAAAAACAACCTAAACCCCTTGAACACAAATCAAGTCATACTTACGACCTCTGAAGTTGTAAGTGAGAACTTCCGAGGAGGACTTGAAGGCAGCATTAGCAATGGCTTCTAGCTAGTGTAGCTATATCTAATGACAACAGTAAAGAGTTGTGAGCTGTAGTAACATCTGTAGATGGAACTTAGTGGTAGAGATAGTGGCTTTGAAGACGCTGTGCACCGAGGAACATAGCAGTGCTCAGAAAGTTTCGTCAGGTGTTATCATACTCATTTTGGTGTGTGGCTTATAAAAACACAATGTAAACAATACGACCAGAAACGAGAGAGACGCACTGTTTCAAAAGGGAAATGCATCATAACACAGAATGCAAGGAGTCCATGGGGTTCTCCATGGGGAGGCTAATGCCAGTTTACGGCACTCTGTAAGGTTTATGGCTGAATCGCACAGAATAATGACAGATGGGAACGGCTACTCGATTTACACACTGCCTTATATTTGAGTGTTTTAGCTCTAACAGGCCTGTATAAACTGTACTGGTCAGTGTTATGGATGAATAAGGTCAGTAGTTCAGTTTCTCTGTTCTTTATATTTTGGTGTTGTAGCTCTAACAGGCCTGTATAAACTGTACTGGTCAGTGTTGTAGATGAATAAGGTCAGTAGGTCAGTTTCTCTGTTCTTTATATTGTAGTGTTGTAGCTCTAACAGGCCTGTATAAACTGTACTGGTCAGTGTTGTAGATGAATAAGGTCAGTAGTTCAGTTTCTCTGTTCTTTATATTTGATTGTTTTAGCTCTAACAGGCCTGTATAAACTGTACTGGTCAGTGTTGTAGATGAATAAGGTCAGTAGTTCAGTTTCTCTGTTCTTTATATTTGAGTGTTTTAGCTCTAACAGGCCTGTATAAACTGTACTGGTCAGTGTTATAGATGAATAAGGTCAGTAGTTAAGTTTCTCTGTTCTTTATATTTGAGTGTTTTAGCTCTAACAGGCCTGTATAAACTGTACTGGTCAGTGTTGTAGATGAATAAGGTCAGTAGTTCAGTTTCTCTGTTCTTTATATTTGAGTGTTTTAGCTCTAACAGGCCTGTATAAACTGTACTGGTCAGTGTTATAGATGAATAAGGTCAGTAGTTCATTTAAATGTGATTTTACTAGTTGTAGTCACATAAATAGCTGTTTCACAGAGGGTGCATTCTCAAATAACTCACTGTTTGTGTCTAATTGTAAATGATAAATATCAATTAATTACAGTGTGAGCTGTGCCTGATTCAGGACTCCAGCATCAAGCCAGCTAACACATGCAGGTCCACTGTTTATTTTCAAATGCATTAAACTTCCTGCCCTCCCCTGCCTATTGTGTATTTCCTCCCTCTCTCTCTCTCTCTTCCTTCACTAGTCGCTGAGAGACAACGCTAAAACGTGAGCTCCTGCCTTTGTAGGGCATTTAAACTTTATTCTTACAAAAAATCACATCTAAAAACAATATTTAAGTATCACAATGTTGTAATTCTGTGTGTACAAAGCCGTGTGAACGCAGCACCGCAGTAAAGCTGTCTTGGTGTTAGTGATTCAGACTTCTGCCGGCTCTCTCTCTCTCTGTAATGCACTAATGCTTCTGCTTTCACTTGCTTTCCCGAGGGTAACGCTCACTTCTTCAGCTCCATATAACTGCTGCAGAATCACTATCAGATGTTTTTGTAATGTGCCACAGCGCACTGAGCTGCAACAGCCATATTTTGGTTTCCGTGCACTGTCACCAAAACTGAAAGATTAAAAAAAAAGATTAAGAAGTGGATGGAAACGCTGATTTAACTTAGAGACCTACAGCTAAAATGCTGTATGTGTGGTGTAGCCCTGTTTACTGCTGCTACAGCTGCTCACAGCAGACAGTCTCTATGTCTTTGGACAACATGCCAGCTATTTCTGTGATGTTTATGTTTTAAAATGAATGCAGAACTTGTGTATTTACTGTGAATTTGATAGACTTTGTTTATATTTAGGTAGCTAGAAACCATGCTAACCATAATTATAATCCCAAACAGTGGAGCTTTCATTAGCTGCTGGCACCAGCTGGCTGGAGCAGTCTGCCAGCGATTACTGTAACATTAAGAAAGGAAAACAAACTTTTATATGTAATGTAAGCTCTGCTGTAGCTTATCTTGGGCTAGCAAGCTACAGGTGCTAATTAGCTGGCATACTATTAGCAGCGTAATAAACACCAGCTTTATATGAGCAGCAAACATCAAGTTAGTTACTAGCTAGCTACGGTAACGATCTGCCGCACAGCATATCTTTTAGTTTTGGCGCAGTTTTGAAGAAGCAGTACTTCGGATAACATCCACATTTCACTGATCACTCAAAACATGACCCCTGACCTGTATCTTCACACTGTGGTTATGCTGTGATAATTGATTTCCTACACAGACATTTGTAGTGAAGGGGAGCCATACCGTGTCTCTGAGATAACGGGCCAGCTAACGTTACCTGTTCATACTAAGCTGATACAGCAGAAATTACATCGTTGACAGTTTACAGCCTGTAGCAATAACATGTAAAGACATGAGAACAATAATCAGTAGTAAATGTGATGCATAAAAGTACTTTGTCAGCCCCTCTGACAGTTTTCAGTAATAACCACTGTTGATTTCAATGCTGATTTCAAGTCCTGTCAGAAATATTGGATTTATGAGATGAATGCACACGAACGCCACCACAGTGTCCTATTTACTAGTGGGGAAGCTAATGCCAGTTTACGGCACTCTGTAAGGTTTATGGCTGATTCGCACAGAATAATGACAGATGGGAACGGCTACTCGATTTACGCACTGCCTTCACCCCAGAAAAGAGCAGAAAACATTTAATTAGGCTGTTATTTGGATTACTCTAACCACCTGTCTTGTTCTAAGTGAATGCATTGTGTCATTAGCATCGCTGTTAGCTTGGGAGTTCAAAACAAACAGTCAACTTCACTGACAAAATCAAACTTTTTTCATGAAATATTTTAATGTTTTGAGTTGCACATGTGAGACAGGACAGTAACGTTACATATCAGCTTGATTTTAGCCACAGAGAAGACAAGTAAGCAGTTCTGTGAGTGCCTTCATACTAAAGAAACTCCCTTTCTGCAGGTTGGTAGACCCAATCCACCTTCGCAAGCTGGACTGGAGCAGCATGTTTCAGATGGTAAGTTTTTATTTGTAGCTCTCTTGTGTGAGGGTGTGCCAAGCTTGCCAGTATGCGGCCATTAAGAACTGTGTTACGAGATCGCATCATCTTGTGACAAAGCAAAAGGGCTGGAATTCCAGTGAGGCGTTTCAGGCAGCTGAGAAAAGTGGATTTTCTCCCTCTGATGTGAACTTTGGGCTTTGTAACTTTGTAACTAAACACTGTTTACATGCACAAAAAGCTACAACATACTGAAGAAAAAGGAAAAAACGTAAAGCATAGTAGGTCCACTTTACTAGAAGGTAAAAGGCGGCAGAATCTTTGTTGAAAGAAACTAGCGCTCATTGCTAGTGGTAGCTTGGAGGAGAAAAAGTCCAGCAGGTTTAATTCTTTCTATTCAGCCCAGGTGAACATCAGCAAGAACACCACAACTAGCAAAGAGACACATCATATTTCTCCATTGAAATAAATCACTCACCAAGTCACAGTGATCAAGCTTACTCACCATCTGTTTCTCCTGGTTCAATTTTACCTGCCCTCTTTTTTGATTGGTTACCTCCTGAAAAGTGACACATGATGAGTGGAGCTTTTCTGCTAAGGTTGAACAATTTTCATCTTGATCAAGTTGTAAGTTGAGGCTGTTTGGTTGAATTATTGGTGCATTTAGGAACGCAACAGTGATTCCAGGCTATAGTCTCAGCCACTGTTTACAACACGAATGGAAGTCATGTAATACTACTATTTACACTTCCGCATTAACAAAGAAGTGAGAGAAGAAGTGTGAGAATGGGAGTCTACAGGGCATGAAAAGCAAACGTTAAGATTTCAAACAACACTACAAAATGGTGGACACACTATATAGTGGACTATTCCTGTAATACAGAGCGATCCTGACACTGAATTAATCTCACTGTAAACACACTACACTGTTTGAGGCAGAAGGATGAGTTACGTTGTGCATTATTGAAAAAATATTTTCTTTGAAAGTCAAACAAGTCTTGGACATTAATGAAAACATTAATGCTTTCAATTATTTTAAGTTAGATTGCTGATTTTCTTTTTTTTTGTAAGGTGGCCAATAATAGGGATCTCAACGCCAGAGTAAATCTAAGCGCTGCTGACTAATTGTGTTTGCATGCGCTGCAGAGCCTGTTGTGCTGTAGTGGTAATAGCCACTGTTTTTCTATTACCCTTTTCCTGTGCTACGTGTATTACATCAGATATTTGCATAGATTATGATCAGGGATTAAGTTGGGTGCCCAATTCTTGACAGTAATGCTACGGTTATTTGCTGGTGCAAAGAGAAATTTTGCTAAATGAAGCACACAGAAACAGAATATAATAACCACTACAAGATGAAATCCACTCAATAATAAGTGCCTTCTAAAGTAGCTAAGCCCAAATAAGAGGTAAATCAGGCACCAGGTCCTAAAAAGGGCACTCACAACCTCGCTTTAAAGTAGTTACACACTCACAAACTTAAAAAAGAGAAAATCAATTAATAACCCTAAAACAAACGAGAGAAATGATCAAATTTCCACACCAAACAAAAATTCTCTCCCTGTAAAACATTAGATATTTTGCCGGAGGCCTATAATCCAAAGGCCAAGTCAAGCCTGCTAATAGCCTGTAGCGTTATGCACAGGAGCTCAGCCCAGCTGCTCAAAAATATGGGCATAACCATTTATAGAACCTTGAAATTGATATTTTAGACCTTAACAGTGATTATCTATTTGAGGGCCACAGGTACAAAATTGATGGTAAGTAAACTAAAACTAAACCCATGTTTAAAACAAAAAACTATACTATATACTATACTATATATGCTTATATACTATAAGCCTAATTGAGTGTGGTGCATACCAAAACAGGTAAAAGGGGGTAACAGTGTACAATTGGTTTAACATCAACCCATAATATATGCATACACAATGTCATTGATATTTACCTATCCGCTTCTCATCTCTATACCGGTAAGTACATTCACATTTAGCCATAGCTTTAATTAATGCTGTTTTCCCTCCACAGGTTCACTCTTAACTGCTGCTCCCCCTCTCCAGGGCAGCTGTGCCACCACCCAATTCCTGTAATGAGGTCACAGACCCTTGTACCACCATTTTCTTGGTATCAATGTAAGTGTATACACATTTGCCTTTTACACTGTCTCTCGCTTAGTGAGGTGTAATGTATAAATGTGTCGTTTTCAATGACATCATCACACACAGGAACTGCTTCATGCACTTCTGATTCTGAATTCTGTTTCTGATGTGAGCAGCAGTAGGCAGGACTTCCCCATGCATAATTTAGTGTTGTTTGAAGCTAAATCAGTACTTTGATCCACTTCTTATTCTTATTATTTGTCACAAACATATTGTGACGTGGGAGGGTTTCCCCAAGAAACTCAGGAGGGTCAGGGTTATGGTCCATATTGCTTTACTGAAAGACTCAAAGAAACAGTTTACAGAAAAATGGCAGCTCCATACTAAATTTACAGTGCCTACTGAGAATACAGCCTGATTCAACTTCACTTACAGCTCACTCTTTGAAGCTTTTACAACAACGCCTAGTCATACCGGTCCACCACTCTTCAGAAGAGTCCTTGCTGAGAAACATGCATAAGGGGTTTTCTAAACTAAATAATAAATACATAAACTAACTTAACCCAAGCCTAGCATTAGACTCTTTTAAGGACTGGATATAATGAATTTATGAAACACTTATGCTACAATATTTAGTAACTAAACAAAATGAAAATGAAACAAAAATGTGTTTTTTATGGAAAAAGCTGTTGAGGTTATGCTGACTGTTTCTCAGCCTTTCAGTGCACAAAAAATGTGCTTGCAGTTCTGAAGTAAAAGGCTGTTAGTAGTTCATTTTTTAATTTTGCACAGTAGTAAATGGCACTTTGTGTTTTGCTATGTGCTTAAAGGGGAGGTTAGTTAGAGTTCTGTTTACACAATAAAAAAGTCTGAACTTGCCTCACATTCAGTCAGAGGCACAATATGGTGTGGCTCTAGAGCCTCCCCCCACCTGTCCTGCAGAACTATAAGACATTCTACCTCATTAGGCTCAACTGATCAGGTAAATTAGCAAGGATTTGACATAGATCGTAATATAACAAACTGTCTTGTGATTTGTCTTCAACATTTTTTCTATCATGTGCATTTTTTTTAGTGACCCCCGATGTGTCTAATAGGAGAAATGAGACAGGTAGCAGCAAATAAAGTTGCGACAGTTAGGGTTCATTCAGAAAAGTTGCTTCCTTATATCGTGAAACAGAGATGGTATGACCAAAAAAAGATGAAATACTGTGGAAAATTAAATACCGTGTGGCAATCAACTGGTACATGCTTTATTTTATTATAGTAAAATAACTGAAAATGGTACACTGTGTGTCGTTTCTCAGACATTAGCCCATCATAAATACCTTAATGATCTACATAATTCATAAATCGCTGATGTTCTTACTCATGTTAAATCAGCTTTACTGATAGCGATTTCCATTAACCTATACCTAAAAGATGAGCTGAAGCAGGAAAATGTAGCAAACATTTATAACTGGCACGCCAACAAACATCTAAAGTGTTCTCTTTTTCTCACTAAATTAATTATATTTCACAATCAATCTTCGAGTGATACAGCTTATAGGAGACGGTAGCAGGCAGTAACCCAGAAAAGTGTCTAACGGTAGCTGTAAGTACTATTAAATTTAGTTACAGCTTTAACACTCCTTGTAGTGCAAGTACCTGCAGGACTAAACGGCCATCAGTATTTCAGTGAACAATAATTGCAGTGATCAGTAATGGTTTTGTCAAAACTAACTTTTGTAAAGTAATAGCATTAATCAGACTGGGCCATAAAACTGCTGCAATATCAAGTTTAGCTCAGTTTTGTCTTTTTTTTGCCAGATCAGTATTGATGTTGTTTTGTTCCAGCCAGTCTGTAAAACATCTTACAGCCCATTTAGTTTGGCGAATGGTATTGGGTTCATTTCTGGCTGATTCCAGGTTGTTTAGCTGTTCTTCTGTCACAGCTGCCGACTGAAAAGCTGCTCAGTGGTGATAACAGTTTGGGAATTTAGTGTCGTCTCATCTTCAGAGTCTGACCAAATTGAACTTTTGAAAAACTGAACTTTTTTTTCTTTCATTATTTAATATCAACAAAACTTTGAAACAGAATAAAACACACCTGCTTTAGGTTTAAGACAGATTAATGCAGCCAAGTGAGTTAAAAAACCCAGCACAGGGAAGGAGCCAAGAGTGGAGCTTTAGAAGATGCAGAGAAAGAAAGGGGAAAAAAGAAACCAGCAAAGGCTGACACAGAGGAAAACACCTAGAAAGTTTTGCTGTTTGTGGTTTTCTTTTTTTAAACACGAAACCCAGGGGACGACGCAACGCCAAGCTCGAGAAGGCAAAACCAAAGACACGTGATCAGGTGAACTCAAGACTGAGTATTTGAACAGCCTTCTTATGTAGACCAGTCACAGGTGTGTGTGTATGTGACAAAATTGTCTCACACACATTGTACAGCAACAAATCAGATGCAGCCTCATGTTAGAAATGGGCTAAGACATTAGAATGCGTCTCACCAGAGTTCAAAAAGTGTTGTGATCATCAATCGATCTGGCTGTAGAAAAACTTCAATTTTGTTGCATCTGGACTGGAACTAACTTAGAATTGATTAGCAAAAGGTGCATTTACTCCATGATCTCACCTTACAGATGATTGTGCATCATCAGAGACTTTTATTCTGTCACCCTGACTCTGCTTTCTCTCTCTCTCTCGTTTGTGTTTATATTTTTCTGTAACTGTGTAAGACTGTTTAGCTGTTTAAATGTGAAATAAAGTAAAAATACACTTCTAATTCTAGACCATCTGCTCATTATGTTCAGTGATGTAGACATTGTTGTTAATTGATGAAAAATCACTAAGTGACTCATAACAGTCATTGTTACAGTTCATGCACATTAGCTACAAATGCAGTGTAAGAGCAGAATATTTTACTGAACTATATTTACATCTACAGAATTTGACACACTAATTGGAACATGTTACAGAGGTAGGTTACAAGAGTTAAGAGTCTTGCCCAAGGACTCTTATTGTTAGGCAATCAATCCCGAGTCTCCTTCATGGAGGGCAGCATGTTACTACATTATACCTGGTGATATTACATATTTTTAACTGTATGACTGTGAAGTGTAATGTACAATTTTAGATAGCATTTGACTTGCTTTATTGTGCCACCAGCCAAAGCAATATGGTTTGGTTAATGAATTCTTGGGTGTATCCTGATTTGTACAGATATCAGTCTTCACAAGCCAGCTCACAGTCAGTGATGTTATTGGTACTACTAAGTTACGTGCTGCCTGGGAATCCCTGTTGCACATTATCTGTCATCATGTTGAGTCATCAGTGTCTCAGTATTACAAGAATCAGGCCAGTGTCTGAATTGTTATTCACTACGTATGTATTCACTAGGCTACACACCAACTAGTAGAGAATTGATCCTCTGTGCAATATTCGAAACTATAGCTATGAATATTACTCTAGCGCTGGGGGCGTGGTGTGCAGATCAATGCCAACTGCTCTGCCTCCCCCTCCATGAAGGGACATTTGCTATCACGTTAGTCCTTCTTTAATAAAATGCTACACATTATGTTCATTTTTGCTGGCATTCTGATATGATTTGTAATATGTTAGCCACAAGCAAACGATGGTGTATTTTCACTTTCCCACACTGGGTTTAATACTACTTATTGGAGCCAGCTTAAATACTTACATTTGAGGTTGGCAAGACAATTACGCAATGATTCAGTGAATATTTCAATGTAAAGTCTAATTTGGAATATTATTGGAGTAGTCTGTTATCTCGTTAGCTAGGCCCAATCTGCTGTGCTGGTCCATCTAGATATAGTTGCTAATCAGCTGGTTCATTATTATGCAAAAGTTTTGTTGCCAATCAATTTGATCTCTTCTGTTCTTCCATACAGTGTTTAGCTTTGGGTCATTAACTTCACATATAATCTATACACATATAAAAAGATTGCATATTTGCATTCATAAAATCTTGCTGGTGTGGGTTCATGACTGTTTCCTCCCTTAGACTCATGCACACACAAACTACTCAAGTGTTTAAATTGAAACTGATCTTTTCGCTGCCTTAGGTGATGGAAAAAAGATGGAATGTCAGCTGTGAAAAGAGGTGGACTTGAAGCCATGAGCAACCAACAGACAAGCAAGAACTTAAACTGTGAGTTTTTTAAAATCATACCGAAACTCAGTGGTCCTGCTTTCTAGCCTTGTCGAGATTAATGTTTTCCTTCAAAACATTGGATTCAGCTCGTGATGGCTGTGATGCTGAGCTGATGAGTTGAATCGGGTATGTTGAGGTTGAATACTAATCTCTTTGCCTTCTCAAATGACGATTATTTTTCTAATAATAATAATAATAATGATTATTATTATTATTATCATCATTAATATTGTCATTATTATATAGTTTTTAAACAACTATGGTTCAAACCATAGGTTAGGTTACTACATTTTCCCATTATGTCCTAGTGTCCTAGTTCTTTGTTTATTTTTAACATGTAGGCTGTGGAAATTTATCATTAATAAAGCACCAAAAAGAACTTGATAGAATGCAGTTTGATCATAAATCTTGCACAGACCAACTTAAACTTTCAGCTGTCTAATTATAATGCATTCAGATCATGTGCAGATAGTAAGCCATACAGAAACAGAAATAAGAAAAAGGAAACTTTCCAGCTTCGACGTGGATATGAATACAGCACATGTTGAATTCAGTTCAGTTCAAGTTTTATTTATATTTCAGTTTGGATTTTCACAAAGCAGATATACAGAAAGTCCAAGCCCATGAGCAACAGTGACAAGAAAAACTCCCTCAGAGCACAATGAACACAAGAGCAAAATGAACCAAGAATAAGATTTTACAATGAATACACAAGCTTAAATATAAATAAAGTAAAGAAATGAGTTTCATTGAACAGAAGTATTAAATTAACCAGTGATGTCAGTGAAGAGTCACAAATGAGAAACAGGTCACTGTTACTGACATGTTCTGACAAAACGCATCCTTCTCAGTGCTTCCCTGCCATGGACCAGCCGTTTAAGACATTACATCACTCACTGTTCATTCCACAATAAAAGCCTTGGCTTCTTGAGTTTCACATAATGAAAATAAGAAATCATTGGTAACCCTTGAATGTGTATCATTTGTAATGAAGTCTTTCTTCATTATGGCGCGATGGTTATGTTCTTATGTGTTCTTATGTTCTTATGTGATTAGATGTTTTAACGTGTGTGTCCACCTTTGTGTTTCCTCCTCAGTCAGTGGGAAAGAGGCTGGTGAGTGTAATGTGATGAAAGAGGGAGAGAGCAATCAAATAAAGAGGAGCTGGAGTATGGATCGGCTCTACCATTTCATTGGTGAGTCTTACATGAACGATTTTTTTCAGGGACTTCATTATTAGCTGATGTGTTGAAACCATAGACTGTATGCAGGAGTGGACAGCATGGCTCTGTTCGCTGCCATTGTGATGTTTTGAAGCCAAAAGATGGCCAAAACAGGGGTTGCCATCATGTTTGTGCACGCAAAGTAGGTGAAAATTGGAGCCAGAGCATGCGCAGTAGAGATTGGAGGTGGAGTGATATGCCCGCCTAATCTCTGGCCATGTCAGTTGGGGACATGCCCCCCTCTCTCTCCCTGCATTGGTGGCGTGCACGGCCACAGTGACTGAACCTGACTTCATAAACCAGCACAGCAGACTGTGACGGTTCAGAGCAACTCAGAGCCAAACTGGTAAGCACACTATTACTATACTTAGATACCTGTAGTTTTTTGCTAAATTATTATTTTTCACTATAATATGAATTTAATTATTGAAAAAGCATCTACCTGACGAGCTAATGTTAGCTAGCTATCTAGGTTAACATTAAATGCTGGAAACTTGTGTTAGCTAGTTAACGTCAATCAACTAACGTTAACATTATTCAGTTAGATTCTAACTAATAACGAGTTGCAACTGAACTAATGCAGCAAAAAAGCAGAAACCTGCTAACACAGCTGTAAAGTTGTGGTTAATTTATTCACAAACTGCTGACCCCTAACATCTAGGTTTACGTATTTTATCGTTTACTGAGTTTAGAATTTACAAAGTCTGTGCTGTATTGGTCCGTATTTCAATTACATCACAAGAAATATGCTTTAAATAACATTTTTACTCTGTTTCCAGGTTTAGCGATAGACATGTTTGTTTGAAACATGTTGGTTTGTTAGAATGTCAGCACTAACACCCCGATTACTTCCTGCTTAATACCTCACCATTTTCTTCTAGTTAAGGTATGTTCATAAATAATATATAATACTTCAGCTAAAAACATGAAATAAGTGACAACTGATTCGCTCTTCTTTGTTTATCTAGGTTTAGTGTCGGTGCAGGACAAAATGTTGGCTAAACAAAATGTGTTGTTCCAGCGGTATGTTTGGTCTTGCAAAAGGGGGTCACAAAACAGAAATAACAAAAAAAAAATCAGACCCCCTGGTCTACAGTAAGAGTAATACTCACGTCCTAATCCAGCCTCACCATGTTGAGGAGTACACACTCAGTTACTATAGTAATGTGAAAAGTTCAACTTAATCGTATCATTAAACCACAAATTAATATTTAAGCAAGATAAGACGAGTTTATAAGACGAGTCACGTAAAACACTGTACCCCAATCTAGAAATCTGATTAAGAAATCTGATAAAGAGAGCTGGATTTTAGCTGAGTAATCAGATTTCTCAGTGCATGTAAACTCTTACTCTGATTTCTTTCGCATTTCTCAGTCTGCGCATGCGTGAAAACAGACAGCAGAACCGGCAATAAGTGAGCAGCGTTGCCGTGAGATGCAGCAAAACACTTTGAGAGATGCTGAAACCAAAACACAAAATAAAGGAATTAGATATTCTTCATCCACTAGATGATGTATGTTTACATTTTCAGGTAAAGTCGCAATGTTTAAAGCATGAAGTTGAGTTGTACGTTACGTTTACGTCACGTCTTCTGTGAGTTTATTGGCTGATTGCAAATCAGAAATCTGATTACTGTCTGACTCATGTAAATTGGAGTTCCCCATCATCTGATTACTCAAGAGCATATAAACCTGTTGAGTGGATTACTGACAAAATCTGATTTTCTGCACTGATTGAATCGTAGAAGATGGCTTCATCCACTGTGAGGAAGTCAGAGTGAAGGAAACCATGGCCTGACCTTGGCCTGAATGCACAGGTCTATAGACCGCCGATGCCATGCCGTCATTCTGTAGGTGGCCTCATGTCCATATTAGAGACTTCAGGTCTAAGCTGGATTTCTCAAAGACAAAAATGAATGGGACATCAAACATATCCGTAACGGGTTTGGAACACTTTTGTTTACAACAAGGTTTTTCAAAATCACATTCATTATGGTCTTCCATAATGAAATCCAGCATTGTCATGATTTTCCACCAGTGAATGCCTTGCAAAGTCAGCACCTCGCAGTTAAGTCCTGCTCGACTTGTACTTGAAAGCTGCATAATACACCAAATAAACCTGACAACTATAAACCTGGTAAATGCAGGGTGATTAAAAAAGATTTATCCGATTTCAAGGTGCCATATTTTTACGACCGTGAGGCGTCTAGGAACCAATCACATACCAATTGAAAGAGGGGGTCATAGAGTTTCTGACTGTCACTGGAAGATGGCTCCCTTCAGTCTGAGAGGAGATGGAGACCCCTGAACAGAAAGGGTTTTGTGTTCTCCACTTCAATAAGAGTGAATCTGTCATAACAGTGCAACGTGATTTTCGTGGGCAGTGAACCTCCAACAGTTCGTCGTTGGTTCCACAACACTGGATGATCTCCGAAATCGCACTGAAAGAGCCGTGAGTGCAGTGACACCTGACATGCTCAATCCAGTATGGGATGAGTTTGACTATGGCGTTGATGTTGTCCGTACAGCTGGAGGAGGTTCATACTGAGACCTTGTACAATTACATAATAAACTTTTTGCTCATTTAAACCATTTACAGTTTACTGCACTGTTCTGTAACGATTTGAAATATTTGAAACGAAGTGAAATAAATCTTTTTGAAATTGGATGAATCCCATGTTCTCCCGTTACTAGGAGACCCAAATAAACAAACGTGGAGCTGCTGCTGCTGTTTTCTCTTTTAAGTGTACATAAACTCGATTGTGCCTTAAACTCAGCGCATTAAAAAGCTTCGCCCCTCACACACAACTCGACTCTCTCTCCAACTGTCGACTCCGACTGACTCAAAAATCTGCAGACTACAGCCAACTAGCACAGACTCGGCCAGCCTGAGAATCGGGGCTAAAATCGGGGTGAAAGTTGTGTAGTGTAACCCCGGCTTTAGCCACAAAAAAATTCTAGATGTCACAACACCACTCGCAAAAAATTCTAGATGTGTAAAGTTAACTCTGGGTTAAAAGTTGTACTGCAGCCAGCCACCAGAGGGCGTCAGATGTTTTGGCTTCACTTTTCACCCCCTATAATCCAGTCCACTCTTGCATACAGTCTATGGTTGAAACCACGCAAATATTAAACAGAATAAACTTCATTCCATCATATTCATAATTCTGAGATCTCTGTTCTCAGGCACACACCTTCTGCAGGCATTTATTTCTGCATAAATGTTAAGTTAATGTGGACTGTATAACAGGTGATGTTCATAATGTCCATGTTTCTTTTTTCAGGTTCTCAAGAGCAAGAAGGAAGCTGGACTAGACATTTTTACATCAAAATGTTTTTGTACATTTTTAGATTTGTTGTATTGCATCACTTATACTGAACAAAAACAAAAATGCAACACTCTCAGTTTTGTCCTCATTTTGCAGAAATGTTATGTCCAGGATTTTTCCTAGAAATGTCTCACTCCTACTGGCAAATGGTGGTCATACCAGATACTAATGTGGGAATTCTGTTTCTGAGCCCACTCTGTTTTTTGCAGTATTTCAGCAAAGTCCTTTATATACCCTCCAAGCCAGCTCACGACATATGACATCAGAGCTACACGCTGCCACCATCGAAAGTAGGAAGTGGTTATAATAATGTGACTCGACTGTGTATAAACTACATAGATTACTACTGTAGGTGGGTTTAGAAACCCACCTCTAGCCAAAGTGGGACCCAATGTAAATCTCAGAAAGAGCCCATGTTTAACACCTTATATGATAAATCATGTGTTTAAAATCATTAGCAACAGCAGTTTATCTAGTTTTATATTTGTTTACTGTGAAAATTCTCTAATCATATTTATTAATTCATACAGAATCAGAAAATGTAGCTGTTTATCAATTTAAAGTGTGAAACTGTCTCTCATACACAGCTGGTTTGATCTCATGTGTACGTGTTTTATAAAGGCACACTGAGTGGGTTGGACATACACAATCACTTTTATGCCATTGAATTCTTCAGTATAATTTTTTGACATTTTTATCATCTCTAATTTAAAATATAATCTCTGAAAAGTTATGTTCTGAACCCACTTGTAACAGTAACAGCTTCAAGGAAGATGTCAGATTTAGCCTGTATTTCAGTGGCCTCTCGTCTCAATTCAAGAGTTTTTCATCCACCATAGTTCAAACTTTGCATATAAATATTGTGAAAATGATATTTATGAATGTGGAAAACACAGTACTGTTTGACTCAGGGCATGCGGTCTGCCGAATGGCCAGCTGCATATGCCCTTGAAGAGGCTCACACAAATGTCGCAGACAGTGACCTGTCACAAAGATGAAGCCTTTTTTCCTTCATTTATTTGCTTACTACTTTTTATTTATTGAACCAAAATCAAAATAAAGTTTTCATTCTGAAATGGCTTTTGACATGTACTGATTATTAAGAAGAAATATTACTAATATTTTGCATGTTCTGCGGTAAATGAGTGTTTCATCCTGCAGGGCCGCATCTGGGCCGGAGACCAAGGTGGGTACTCAGCCATAACTGTGTGCCATATATGAGCCAGATCTGAACCACAGCTTTTAAATATGCTCACTTTACAGTGTGTGAGCCAGACCTGGACCACAGCCATTAAACTTACACACTTCACGGTATATGGGCCAGATCTGGACCACAGCCGTTAATCTTACACGCTTTACGGTATATGGGCCAGATCTGGACCACATGGTTTACGGTTGTAACAACTGAGTCTCTGGAACTTGAGAGGGATCCATGTGCAAGTTTAAACAGTTTATTTAAACAGGGAAATCCTTTGGACAAAGTCATAGACAGATAGAGTTCAAAAATAAAAAAAGCAGTCCAAAAACCAAGGCAAAAGTATCCAGAGGGGCAAAAAGGCAGGCAAAAATAGTTCACCACACTGGAAAGGCAACAACAAGGCTACTGGCAATACTCCATAAAAAGTGAGCGCAACTGAGAGGCTTAAGTAGCAGGGCTGTTTGAGTGGGAATGAAAATCAGGTGGTGTAATTGGTTGTCATGGTGACAGAGCTAGTACTCGAGGGAGGATGACCTCTGGTGGCCAGAAGGGATTGCTGACAACTGTATATGGGCCAGAGCTGGGCCAGAGCCTTTAGTTTTCACTTTACAGGGTGTGGGCCAGATCTTGACCACAGCCGTGAGTTCTTCTTGTTTTAAAGCACAGATCTTGGCCATGTCCTTTAGATGTACTCATTTGATGAGTTTAAGATCTATAGAGTTTAAGAGATATCTGAGATTTCTAAAATTTGCTTCACTATAAATAAAAGTACGAAAGTAAAAATCTTTCCTCACTTCAGCCCATTCGGTGAACGTTTTTACCTCTTAAGAAACACATGCACTGTTTGCCAACCTGCTGGAAGAACAAGATTATCAACACACAGCACAATTCAAACATGAATTCTTGTTTTAAAAGGAAAAGCTGGTAAATTTAAGTGGCTGTATGTAAAGGGTCAGCCTGAGCTGCCGGCTGCCAGCAGAGGGCGACGGCGGCGATTCACTGTTACTCCAGGAGACTCAAAATCCCAGAATACCAAGGGGTAATCAGTGCCAACCAGGCTCACCTGTTGGTAACGGCATTTAAGGCCGTGGCAGACAGGTTGCCCTCGTCACACCTTTGTAGAGGGGTGACTGGTATGGTACAGAGCTGAGAAGAGCTGAAAAGAGCTGAAAACAGAGCACTGCTCTAAGCTAGGTGACAAGAAAAGAGAAAGTGGAAAAAAGGAGAAAGAAACATTGTTTAGATTTAAGACAAGAAAAAAGAGAGGGAAGAAAAAGTAAAGGCTGAAGTTTGGTCACCTCCCCATCTCTCCTTAGAGAGGTGTTTTGGTTTGGGCATTTATTTGGTTTCTTGAATTTTTCCCACCACTTTCCCCCTCTATTCTGAGTGGTGTAATTCCATCTGTCACCTGTGCTCCCTGGTGGCGCAGTGGTAGGATGCTGGGCTTGCAAGGTTCGAATCCAGCTGAGAGTTACTCCCCTCCAACAGTACACAACACTCTCTCTGTCCCCACATCACTATTTATTACCATCCGTCCCACTATAGAAATGCCAAGAAGGTGAATAAAAAAGTCTATTTTCTATTTTTTCATTTCAGTTTTAAGACAGTCCTCTCAGATTTTCCTCTCTGCGCTTGGGTCCGCTCCCTGACCGTCCTGTGACACTGTAGTTCATTCACAAACCCAATCTGACCATCAAGCGATCAAATCTTCAGCTTCCTTTGTTCTGCTTCCATCAGGGAGAAGAGGAACATGGGCATCATGAACACTGTAAGATATACATAAACTTGAAGGGCAATTCCACAGAATTTTCAAAGTTTTTGCATAATTTAGTATTTGAGATGATTCCTGAGGTACAGAAATGCTTTGACTCCCTTCAGAAAGGAATGAGGTCATCCAGACTGCGGCTCTTCCTTATTTCCCTGATCTCTTCATCTTTCCTCTCCTTACATCCAGCAGCCTCTTTTACACTGGCTGAGGAAGAAATACACATCAACAGACACATCAAAAAACATTTTATTAAACATCAAACATGTTTAAAGCATCCATATCTTACATTCAGTACGGTTCACTCATGACATTTGTGTGGTTTGTGTACCAAAAACAGTCCTAATTCATCCTAAAACAATTAAAACAAAGGAAAATAAACCAAAAACTAGAAAATAAATCAAAATAAAACAATTCCCAACAGGAGTTAACTTATTTTCATTTAGAAAATATGTCAAAGTTCAGAGTTTGTGCTGCAGTAACAGTCTCTAATCTTCTTGGAAGGCTTTAAACTAGATGTTTGAACATTGCTGTGAGGATTTGATTTAGCATAGTGAGGTCAGGTACTGATGTTGGATGGTCAGTTCTGGGTCACTTCAACTCAGCCCAAAGGTACTGGATAGAACACAGTTCCACTGCTCCACAGCCCAATGTTTAGCCCACGCTTGGTATTGAGCATGGTGTCCTTAGGCTCATGTGCAGCTGCTCCAGAGCGTCCCACACTAGTAATTAGTAAGGAGGCTTTACAGTATGTGGAAGTTTGTTAACCTCGTCCTTCACCAGGTTTTGACTTGACTTCTCTTAGAATACTCTTTCAACACACTACCAATCAGATTCATCCCCTCCAAGAAGAGAATCACAACCAACATTACAAAATGTTGTTCCCCATATTGAGTGCAATTACACATTTCCACCAGAGAGGTCTCCAGATCCCCAAAACTTACATGGTGTAGCTTTAACCATGCATGTTAGTCCATATTGTTATCTACAGGGTGTAATTAGACTGGGATTTTACAAGGTTAAAACGGTTCTAAATATACGTCTCATTTCCAAAAATGACTGTTTAAAGGGCCCATATCATGGAAAACTGAATTTTCCTTGCTTTTTTGAAATAAAACAGTTTGATCTTGTATTAAAACATTGCTAAAATTTCAAAACTTGCTGTTCACTTCTCAGGCGCACAGCCCATATAAAGAAACTAAGCTGGAAAAACAGCCTGTTTTTGAATTCATTGTTTCTGTAATGTCACAAAAATCAACACCTTCACATTAATCCACCCATTCAGCTCACATCAGTTTAGCTCCACCCCTTACACTGAAGTTATAAGGAGTGTTTCAGCCAGGACTGTTTTTGAAATGAGACACAATACAATCAGCCAAGCAAGACAGAGGTCATTTCCATATATAGTAACAAAAACAGCCTGTTTCATTCTAAGGGATGAAGAGAGTTTTTGGAAAATGATGTTGTGAAAATGAATTAGGACTGTATTTGTAAAAAATCCATACACAAATGTTCTAAGTGGATAAAACTGTATAAACACTGTGTGAAACAGCCATCCTTTTACAGTGTTTTATGAAAGCAAAACATCTTCTGATATGTTGTCGCTCGAAAGAAGCCCAGAGATGGAAAGTTCAGGTGCAGAAAGTAAAAATCCTCACCAAGATTTTGTCCCAAAATCAGAGAATCCAGGCAGTTGGAACAAGATATTCAGGTGGGTTTTAAATGTCTGGATTTGGATTTTCCATTTAGTCCCATTTTGGGGACCTTTATTTTTAAAAGAGCACAAAATAACTTGTATAGAAAATCTGGAGGCTCCTTCTTGTAAAATAAGTTCAAACACCAAACTCACATATGAAGTTGAGGTACTGAAGCGTACTTGATCTTCTGTGCAGTCTCCCTGTAACCTGCCCCACCCTTTCAGTCGATACATCTTCATTTCTGACACCTGAAAAAGCACAAAGATCTGAGCCGCTGTGATCCACCTGCTCAGAGACATGCACAGTGCAGGTGAGTGTGTGTGTGTGTGTGTGTGTGTGTGAAGCTGTTCTCAGGACTGTCACCAATCAACAACAATTTATTTTATAAAGTTTTTCAGTGTGGTCTCAGGTTTCTGGACCCCACTCTGTGTGTGTGTGTGTGTCATATATATATATATATATACACACACCAATCAGGCATAACATTATGATCACCTCCTTGTTTCTACACTCATTGTCCATTTTATCAGCTCCACTTACTATATAGGAGCACTTTGTAGTTCTACAGTTACAGACTGTAGTCCATCTGTTTCTCTGATACTTTGTTAGCCCCCTTTTACCCTGTTCTTCAGTGGTCAGGACCCCCATGGACCCTCACAGAGCAGGTACTATTTGGGTGGTGGATCATTCTCAGCCCTGCAGTGACACTGACATGTGAAAACCTTGTATCACCATTTTCCCGTTTTTCAGTTTTTGACATCATCTGAAAATGCCCATTGTCCTTTTATATTGTGTGTAAATTTCATGATGAAGCGACCAAAAGAAACAGCCCACAATGACTTGGGAAAAAAGTCTGGTTCCATTGACTTACATTAAAAGTTAAGTATGTTTTTTCCTTCTCCTGTAAAGTTACCATTTTGGAGATACAAAGTTTTATTCCGACAACAGCAATATATGTTTATATGATGTATCATATGACTTCATATGCTGTGTTTATGAATGGACGTGTTTAGGTACAATTGAAATGGATTTGCACATCATATAATTTAGAAGTTGTGAGTATATTAGTGAAAAGTCTTCTTCTTACTCGGCTTCACTTTTTGTATTTAATTTGAGTCTGTTCTGAAAAGTAGAACCTACCAAATTCCACTACTTATGCTGATAGATGCTGGATGAAACTCGGTACTTCTTTCTGGACCTGACATTGTTACTCACGTTGTTTTTTTTGGTTGATTTTGTTTTTTTTCTATTTGAGATTATTTAATTGTAGTATACTTTCATTTCAGTGGTTTACTTCCTTCCATTAAAAAATGATGGTTCAAGGGTTCTTTAGTAAAGAAATTGGTTCTGAATGGTTGATTAAAGGGTTCTTTGCATGGTGAAATGGTTC